CAAATAGGTAGATCTTGTTTGCTTTGTAGTTCATCTTGTTGGCTACTAAAACCAATTTGTGTAACAAATAGCTGGGGACAAACACGGTGTTGCTCCATTTTGTTGCCTTCCTTTTCCCAAAATATGGTGAAACTACCAGTGTATGGAGCTTTAGGGAGAATTTAGAGTGATCATATGATAATAGGACATTGCTTTTAGCATTGGTGTTTTATAGAGTTATTAGCTTAAATCAATTTTGTCGAGGGTTAATCTGGATTTATGGTACAATTTAATGTGTAGTTTCATTTTATGCAGGTTTCGTATAAAGGGAATCGTTTTTTTTTTCTGATAGAACCATATAAACACAGTTTTCCTTCGATGTGTGTTAGTATCGGTGGTGTCAATTGTTCTTTGGGTAGCAAGTCTATTGGTGAAAAGCCTGTGATCTGTTTCTGTATGATGAATATTGGATGTGGCTGGTTTTACTCCAAAATTTTCAATTATCTTTTTTGTTTATGCATCATTTGGATAGAGAAAAATGTGACAAGGCTATAATTAGTTGGTTAAGAGTTAAATCAGTGGTGTGCTGGTGGAGACAAGAACGCGATAGCTTGTTCATACAAATTAGTACGCAACATGATTACATGAAGCATCTGTTCTCGTGATTTTTATATTTTAAAGTATTAGACAGTAAATTCATGATTGTAGACTTTGGAGGATCAACTGCTTATTCTTATATCTTTTTTCCTTCTTTTATTTTTCACAGAGGCATAACAGTTACGAAAAAAGGTATCGAAGAGTGCGTGGAAAAAAAGAGATGTTGCGTAACATCAACATGTATGCAGATTACCTCCTTCAGGTGACTATATATGTCGTTAAATCGCAATGTAATGAATAATGTTATTGGTTCCTGTTCCCTCTATACACTCTGAGGTGGTATTGCCAGATAACATTGTAGATTTTCGAACTTCAGACCTAGTTTCACGGTTCCATGTAATAATTGATTAATAATTGATAACACCAACGTTATTGTTTACTATAAAAGTTTTAACTGAGCCGTGATCATTGTGCCTGCCAGGGCTGGCAGAATGATTCGGATGAGGATGATCCATCATCCAGTGGATTTAGCTGGTTCAGAAACCAGTACTTCAAGGGATCCAGAAAAGATTCGGCTGACAAGCAGGGGCCTCAGCGTTGGGGTAGAAGTAAGGATATATATCTTGGCTTTACACAGTATAATACGTCTATTTATTTTTTGAAATAAAAAGTTTAAAAATGTATTAACAGGCACCAATGGAGT